AAGTTAAAAGTAATAGCAAAAATAAATAAAATAATAAAGCTAATAGCTTAGCAAAGAAAAAAACAATGAGCAGAAAAATAGTACAGACTGTAAAAAAGAAGTAAAATACTGCTTAGAGTAGAAAAACAAATGAACTGATATATTAGCAAAACTGCTTTGTAAGTTAGTAACAAATGCAAAAATAGAAGCAGAGTAGAAAGAAACAAAAGCAGTTAAAGATTTAAAATCAGAAGCAGAAATTACAATTTATGATTAAACATACTTTTGAAAAAGTTTAAAAATAATTAAGAAAATATGTTGTATAACAAAAAGAAGTAACTTCAGAAGAAGTGTATTTATTAAAGCATAATAGATAAACTTATGATCTTGAAAGAACTTAGCAAAAGAAAGCTAAATATATACACAACAATAGAATGCCAAGTATATCAAGATAAAGTAAAAGAAATATAGACACATTTGGCAGCATACAAGAAGCAAAGAAATCTCTAGAAGAGAATCCAAAAAGTAACTATAAAAGAGACTAAAAGAAGAAGAAAAAATCTGGATTTCTCTATATATGTTATATACAACACTTTTCAAAAAAACAAAGATAGAGAAAGTAAAAATAAGAAAAACATTAATTAAAGAACTAATTCTAAAAGAAACATAAGACAGATTAATATAGCTCTTAAGCACAAAATCAAGATAGCAGTTTGTAAATATAGTAGCAGTAATAGTTTGAAATACATTTTACAAACAAGTGTAAGAAATATAATATAAAAAATTAATAAATAAAAAAAAATTAAAATAATAAGTAGAATAAAAAAAGAATAAGAAGAAAAGCTAAAAAAACTAAGTAAAAAAAGAAAAGCAAATCAGTAAAGAATAAGAGAAAGAAAAGAGAAAATAAAAGAAAAAGAAAAACAAGTTGAAAAAAAAGTAATAAAAACAATGTTAGAGCTTGTTATAAAAGAAAAAAGATCTTTTTATTATAAACTTTAAGTAGTCAGACAAGCAGTTTACTTTTGTTTAAAGTAATGCAATAGATTGCACTTAGATATTATTAAGATAACCAGATGATACTAAACTTAGAATTAGGGATATTTATATAATTACAAATGTAATTTCAAAATCTTAATAAAATACTAACATAACTGCTTATATAAAAAAAAAAAGTATAAACCTATAATAAGATTATTAGACATATAATACTAAAAAGTCAATATATAGAAACTCATCTAAAAATTTTAAATAAAAAAGTAACATAAACTTTATCAATATTATTAGACTGATAAAAATCTTAAAAAAAGCTAGAAGCTTCAGAAAAAAGCCAAATAAACTAAATATCAACATGTATAAAAAAGCATATATAATCAAATTACTAGAATTTGCTAAAAAAAAAAATTCTAAATTAGATATTATACTGAGTTATCTAAATTAATAGTTTAAAAAATCATATCAAAATAAAGATAATTAGTTTAAAATAAGCAAATAATATTAAAAAGATAAATACTAAGTTTTAATAAACTTTATAAAAGTATAATAATTTAATGTTTAATCTTAATTGCAAGTACTAATTTAGACTAATTATAAGTATAAGATATAGAAAGCTCTAATAGATATAATATAAAGTTAAATATAATTTAGTAATTATAGCATATCTTTACTAGTTTACTAGAATTATTAATAAGTAAAAATAGATCTAGAATCTAGAATGTTTAAATAAAAGATCTATATTTGAGTTTTAAGTATAACAACTAGATAAAACCTTTAGATAAATTACTTAAATTAGACAATAATTAAAGTTATACAAATGGCTAGTTGTATAATTTTTCATAATTGCTCTTATAATAATTATATATAATCAAAACATATTATTAATAAAATATATATATATTTTTTTTGGTATTAAGATGACCTTTTTGGTCTTTTGACATTTTTTTTTTTTTTTTTTTTTATTCTTTGACAGTCTTGTTGGAGCTCAGATACAAAATTTTACTATTTGAAACATTAACTATTTCTAGTAATCTACATTTTGAAATTGCAAGCCTGGCATCACCCAAGTACAGAAACTGCACTCAAATGTGACTTGTCGCACCAGTTTATGCCTAAACTGGAAGACCTTGTCAGCTTTGTCAAGAACTGAACCAGAATGGATTTGTTCCATTCTGCACTAGTTCATCTACTCCTTTATTAAATATCTGAAAACATTCCGCTTCTCTCTCTTTATCTTTAACAGCTTTTGTCTTATTAGTTATATTTCTCTTGTTGTCTCTTCTACTTCTGATTCTTTTTGAACTATAACCTTTATCTTCATCTCTCTTCATTCTGCATCGCTTCACTTTCAAGGTTATTTTATTCTCATCTTCCTATTTGGCTACTGTTTTGCATCTTCTCTATCATATTTCTTCTCTAAACATTTCTTCAACAATCTTAATATATAGTTTACAGAATGTTTTGTACCTCTTCATGACACTTGCTTCGCATATAATTCCTTAAACATACTTTCCATTGCTAAGCCACGTATATATGACTCACGGTGCTTAACCTTATCTGCTAAAGTTCTTCTAACAAGTATTTTGCTTAACTCGAGTTTCGTAATCTTGCTTTTATCTACTTTATCAAGCTTTTTCTATACTAACCAGCATGCCAGCTCTTTAATATTGTTTCAATACCTACTAACTCTTCACATTTAAGCAAATGTATTGATGTCTCTTGTTCCTTATAGCATTCTTTACATTTATCTATCTTATATATGTCTGGTAATCTCTTCTTTAGTACCTTAAGAACTGGCAAACTATTGCTTATATACTTAACTTTAAATGCTATCTTCTTACTTGCCTCTAGTGATTTACATTTAACTCTGGTTAAACTTCTGTTTTCCTTTTACAATGCTTTCCAATTTCTTTAACCTTCAGCATTTGGTTCAAGTTCTCTAACTGCCTTTGAGCACTGTCATTCAGCACCATTTATCATGTTTGTTAATGTTTTCATAAATTTTCTGGTAGGTACTTCTACTACTAAGTCTTTTTAATATAGCGTATATGGAAATTAGCAATTTCTTTCAAGTTTTAGGCCTGAGCATTCACCTAACAATGTACCTTCTTTCGCAAGTTTGTCAGCTCTTTCATTTCATACTACTCCACTATATGCTTTAACCTTGACTAGCACTTATTCGATATTTTTTGAGTTGCATATATCTTTGATCTTCATCACTAATCTGAAGTTTTTGGTTTTGCTCTATGCCCTAATATTAAACATAGGCTTCTCTCTTTCCAGACTTGCAATTGCCGCTGAACTATCTAATTTAATCACTACTTTATTGTTATTAGCTATAACTAAAACTACTATCATTACTGCTGCTAACTCTGCCTTTGTTGATAATGGCCATTTCTTTAATCTAACCTTACTCTCCATTATAACCTTTTTTTTATCATCACTAACTTGCACCCAACTTGCACCTATTTTACATTCTTTTTCTTCTTTTACTAATGACCCATCCATATAGAACTTGTATTTTATACGTCTATCCATAATGTTCTTTTCCAACTGCTCTAACAGCATACTCTCTAAATTGTCATTTAAGCCTTGCATTTTCAATACGTATAGGCGGATTTATGGAATTGGGCCTTTTTTTAGGCCCAAATTTATATGTAAATCATTATCAGCTGATTAATTTTGTACTCCCCCCAAAAAAAATAAGAAACTAAAACAGAAAACTTTATATATACGACATATTACTGAATCACGTCAAACCAATTGTCCAACCTCAAAACCAATTGTACAATTTAGTAATCAGGTAAGAAAGAAATATTATAGCTATTATAAGGTTAATTTGTTCATTTAATGTTTTAGTTTTTTATTAATTTCGATTTTTGTTCTCTGTAACAAAGATTCAAGTGACGAATAGCTTGCTGCCAAACTTCAAGCTAGTGTAGTTTGAGTATGCTCACGTTTAAATTATAACTTCTAGAAAACCTATGTTCTATGAACTTTATTAAATAGCAAAATTTTCTTGTAGTTCAAATTTGTCCAGATCTTCCGGCAAGTATAGCGATGATTTAAGTAAGATTTCAATTTTTAAAATGCGGCTTATTTGTACTACATAGTAACTTAAATCTGCCCAAACATAATATAGAGCGTGGGGTACCTTTAGGCAAGGCAAGTTTCAGGAAAACTGCTTTATCTTATAGAATGTTCTATAGGAAGTATCAGCGAATTAATACTATGTTTAAAGGGCTTGAATGGTTATAAAGTGTGTCGGGTTTACCAGGTCTTAATCTTCTTCGCTATTGTGAAGTTGGTATCAAAAGAAAACATAAAGTGCTTATTAATCAGCGTAATTAAGATAGTTGCTTCAAAATTTTATTCAATATTTGCCTTTACTAATGTATATTTTCTTTTTTAATCAAAAATAAGTAGCTAACAAGATGTAGCCAACGAACCTCCAAAGCTATATCAATGAGAATTTGATATTATAGGTTGGGTTGTGATATTATAGGTTGGGTTGTTAAGGCTTTAGAACTGTACATAAAAGCTGTAGAGGTTTTTTTGAAGGCTATTAAAGGTATTTTTTTTCATATTATAATAATGATTTTTATATCAACTGCCAACGCCTCTATAATTATTTTATTTAATACACAGAAACAAAGATCGATTCATCTGTAAATTCACCATAAAAAGTAGGAATTTAAAGGTAAATTAAATCCTATTACATGGAGGTTTACTATATTAGGAGTTCGTTATATCAGGAGTTATTGTATATTTCGGTAAGAATCAGCATTTATAATTTTAAAAAGGTATCTAAGAGAAAATAAGACTTTGGGCTTTTAATTATATCATAGCCCATGAAAGCTCAGTTTCATTTTCTTTTGGCAGCATTTAAAGATTATTTGAATTGTTATGATTGTTTTTTTTTTTGTAATTTATTAATAATATAATTTACTTATTTTTGTTACTAGGTATAAAATGTAATTTTTATTACTAAAATGATTTTACTATATAAACTTAGTATACAAAGAATGACATCTTATCAGTGTTTTGAGTGTGAAGTTTGTCGAAAAATCTATAAAACAAAAAGGGGTTTAAATTGCCACAAAAGTGTTGTTAAAAGGTATAACGTCCGTCGCGAAGGATTGTATGTGCTACCTTTAGAAGCAGTTAACCAATTTAAGTCTGATCTGATTTACATTATAAGAACTAAGCTCAAGGAACATTTTAAACAATCAGGCAAACAAACCCTCTCTTTTCCGTGTTTAGAAAGCTTGTTTTTTGGAGTTTTTGAAGGGTATATTCATCATTTTAATTACACAAATGGCAGTTACAAGTGTTTTTTTCAGGGGCCAGACGCATATTCACAATTAGCCTATCTTCTTAACAATCAAAATTGGGGGCGAAAATTTTTTGATGATAATCATCAAACATTGGTCCTGTTATTTGATGCACAGGCTGAAGAAAGAGAGCGATATAAAAAAAAACCCCCGATTACCAAAATTAACAATCGAATGGAAAACAAAGTACCAAAAGGATGCAAAAAATAATCAAGCTGTAGCCGGTTATATACGTTTGAGCTTTTATACGCTACAAGTTTAATATTAGGTTATACAAACTTAATAAATTGGTTATAACCCGGGCGGGTTAAATTTTACAAAAACTTTACAACTGTTCTTATAAGTTTTGAAACATTTAGTAAAAAATTGACTAAATGATTGTTTGGTCGAATCGATAAGTTTTTGATAAACTTTTGATTTTGGGCATGATTAGTGTATATATAACGATTACTTTTTAATACATAATAATAAAATTTTGATCACCAATATATAACGTATTCAATATTAAGTTTTCGCTTGAATGCATGTTTGGTATGTTTGGTGTGTTTAATCTATACGAAAATTTATAGTGAAGTTTGTTATTGTCAACTAACATATGTTAACAAAAAAACAAAAAAGGATTGACCAGACCAAAAAGAATATATATAACTTAATTTATAATTTTAAATAGCAAAGATTTTATTAATATTTGCCAAAATTACGTTGAGAATGAAATCAAAGTAAAAATTTATATATCACTTTATTTAATGATAATCGTTATTATAAAATAACCAGTATGAGTTAAATAATATCTTCTTTATTCCTTCCTTTTAAATCTACGTACAATTAAATCTATTAAAATCGTTGGTTTCACATGATACGTAACGTAGACTACCCATATAAATAATTTTTAATTAAAAAAATAATATGAAGATGTACAGAAACTAAAAATATTATTACAGTATCACGAAAAACAAATTAAATTTATTAAATTGTATCGTATCTAACCTTGAAACCTTGAAGCTATTCATTCAGAAGAGCGTATGTTCAAGAATCTTAGTTATTATTTAATGTATTTAAATAAAATTATTTCTCACATAGAGCAATTCTTGATATTTTTGCATGTTAGTCTTTTTTTAGCACCAATAACAATGCCAAGTCTGAAAATTCCACGAGTATTCCCATCTCTGCAGACAATACAGTACAAAATCCACTTTCGTCAATTTTTTTGGTCTATCTAATGGAATCTATTTAATGATAAAATAAGAATATTAAACTTTACTCTAAGTCACGATGAATGATATCTTTACTATGTAAATATTTTACCAGACTTAATTTCCAACGCAATCCTGTAATTGTATAAACATCTTTTTGTTTAGCTTTTAAATAGTCTCGTGAGTTACCATCAGTTGCATATTGTAATATTAGCATTAAAATGATTGTTACTACGTTTAAAGCTTTTGATTGTAGTTAGCAAATGTGATTAATACTCATTAATGTTACCGTTACTCGTATATGTTCTTAAATTCTTACCTCTTGAGATACTGAAAAATTGATAATATTGGAATGTACAATAGTATGCAGAAGTTCAAGCTATATAGTTGTTTAACTCATATGCTAAGAATTTGAAATTCTGTATGTCGAATATATTAAAAGCTATCTTATTTTTGAATTGTCTGAATATAATGTGATGAAAGTATAAGTTATATGTAGGGATTTTAATGCATATTTTTCTTCTCTAAAGTACCAAGTGAATGACTGCAATCCACTTCTTCCGATGATTTTTGGAGAAAAATCAAACCTTTTTATACTATGTTCTTTTAAATACGATTCTAATTCTTAAATACCTGATTACTAATATAATACAGATGTTTAACAGAAATTAAGATTTATTAAAGCGATAACTCACGTATTATACCTTGAATTAATAATCCAAGCCAATTAAAAACTTCATACTTGGAACCGTTATTGGTTTAAGATTGGTAATATAAGAATAAAATAAAATAAATTTTGTGATTAAAGCAAGCTTCAAGTTATCTAAAAATTTTATTAGTTCTAATCATATTTAAACCTCATTTTCTTTGATATAAAAGTATTGAGGTTTAGAACTATTGAATTTTATGCTATTAAAGTATAAAGACCTATTTTCATAATCAAGCATTTCAAAAATTGCGGATTTTCTTTCCGCTCCATTGCCACCATTTTTCATTGTTTTTCTAAAAAAAACTAAAACCTGATTATGATTTTTTTTTTCCACAGCCGCGCAAGAAAATGCAGCAAAACCAAAATATTGATGGCGCATCATAAATTCAGGAATATGATTAATCAAAACGTGCATATATGGAGTAACGTCTTTTGGACGATAAAGACCCTTTTTAAAGGATATAGTATTTGGTTCACCTTCATGAGGTGTGAGAAATAAGTAGAGCCATTTTTTTGCTTGACCCGCAAAAAAAGACGGATCAGCTCCTGGTTGCTTCATAAGTTTATAAAGCGCATAAAAATCTCTCCACAAATGGTTAATTAATATAGCCCGTTCTTTATCGAAAATAACTTCAAAGTTAAAGCTGTGTAATACTTTTTCCTTGTCATCTCCCATTAAAGATGTATAAGACCAGCTCTCCGTATTATGTTCCTGCCAAAATTGAAATTTTACTGAAATTCTTTCCATCTCTCTGATAATCACTCCTCTGTTATATTCGTCATATCTACTTTCAGATTTAAGCTCCTGGATGACTAAACTCCACAATCTATCCCAGATCCTCAACATCACGTGCAATTCGTCAGGTACATAATGATCTAGAGAAATCATTGGAATAAGAGGTGGTTTTGTATGACCTGGTGATGGTTTTGCAGCTTTAAGTTGTTCCATACTTTTTTCAATGGTGTAAACCTTATCTTGGGTACCTATATCCCTTTTAGTGCACAAGCACCAAGGACAAAAGTAAGTTGTGTTTGGGGCATTGAACCCCAAGACTATACATAGGAATTTCCAATCACTAGAGAAATAGGGCTTTATTTGCCATCTAATTCCCATAGAATCGACCAACCCATTTTTCACTAGATTATCTAATTCATCGACTAGGGGTGCCATGATCTTTTTGAAAAGATTATAGTTTTCTGTTCCAGGGCATAAAAGAATGGTATGGTGATAATCGGCACTATAAAGATTTGATACATCGTCTAAAACTGAACATGTCATCATCACATGCTTTATCTTTCTGCCTACATTCCGACCGTCACCTAATATTAGGGATGGACAATATGTGAGCAATATAAATTTTTGCCCGTTACCTATCCTTACATATTGTTATCAACTATTTCTTATTATAATTCACATGATTTATATATACAACTTTGAAAGACATAATTCTAATGCTTAAATTCTGCTGATCAAAGTTACTTTGAATAATTGGGTGTAATGATTATACTTGCCACCCAAACCTTAAAAAAAAGTTGCTATTTATAAAAAATTAAATAAAAAAAATTGGGTTGATACTTTGTAAATATATTCTATATAATTCTATTAATTTGCTTAAATAAAGATTATTAATAAAGTTTTGAGAAATTAATTTATCCCGAGTTTGGGATTTGGGATTTTTGGGCGTGCAAACTACAACATTTGGAGATTTAAGCGGCAAGTATAGTAATGATAAATAATCATAAAACCACTTCAAATTAATTCTTCCTTTAACATAAGATATATCATTGTATTTTTTTAAAAAAAAATTGGGTTATGTTAAACGTAGAATTAAATTGGTCTGGCTATATATTAAAAATTGCCATCTCTATGTACAGTACCTGATATACGGATATGGATTACCGGACTATTTGTGCTTAAAACTTTACGATTTACAAGATCCGGAATTAAAAAGAGTAAGATGTCCGTTATGCGTCGGTAGCCTGCTTTGCCAATGTATTTGTGCATTTCTTCTTCAACTTCTTGATTATCAATGTCAGAAGGCTCATTTGTTGCTATAAGAGGAATGGGAATGTCTGTAATATTTAAAATTGAAATAGGAATTTGTTGACTCATTTCTTTATTAATTTTTTTCCTAGCATTTAAAATCATATGATCACGTGGTAGTTCGTATTGGAGAGCAGCTAAGTTTCTATAAGCGTCTCTAGAAATTGGACTCTGATCAATAATTTTTGTAATTGCTTCAATGTGCTGATTATTTTTTTCTATATTTTGATGAAAATTAACAACATAACCTTTATTTTGAACATTAAATCGTAACTCTTGTAAGACAGGTTGATCAACCGGGTTATAGAATTTGGGAGTTTCATTGTTAAAAACTGTACCAACGTGCATTGAAAACGCGCGGGAACGCTTAGTTTTCATTGACTCGCTTAACATAGCGAATGGTTTGAGAGAATGAGATCGCTTTTTTTTTTCACGTTCTCGTTCCACGTCTATTGCATTAAGTCCAAACACATGTACCCCGGAAAGTTTGGCTTGCGTGTTAGGATTTTTTTTCTATATAAAATGAAATATTAGATTTTTTTTTCATAAATAGAATTATAATTATAAAAAGTTATCATTAACTTGTAAATATTCATTAGCAGCTTTAGTTGAAGATTCTTTCGATTCTACTACAAAATTTTGACTATTATCCTCAAACCTGATTCTAAATACAGGTTCATTTATATCATATTCAATCTCACATTCTACTACATGCCGCGACTTTTCTCTGCCCCACTTTGTTTGTACTAAATAATTGTCCGGAATCTTGTATTTAGTTCCATTGCGAGAGTGAGCTGAGGTGTAACGTACTATATCTGGCGGATAAAATCTCTCACTAATGATAGTGTATGTATATGTAGTATGGTTTTGTTTAAGAGAAAAAGGGTTGTCTTCAGGGTATTTACTTAGATCAGAAGACATCCTAGTAAAAAAACCTGCTATTATTTGATTTATAAATGTTTTTTTTTTTATTTTATTCTATTTTTTTCTTCCCGCTGATGCATAGAAGCTTTCAGGTTCTTTCCAGTAGAATATTAAATGTTCTGATAAAATTTTATATCAATAGGTGTTTTTGCTAACAACCTTAACAAGATACTGTACTATTTGGCGGTGTTGATACGTATACTTCTTTTTTTTCATCATTCCTTGTTGGCAATGCAGATAAAAATTAAGGTTTTTTTGAAGTTACCTAATATACCTTATATAGCATTAGCGATGCAGGTAAAAAATTAAAGTTTCTTGGAGTTATCTAATATTCCTTATACAGTATGCCGTTCCTTTTTATTGGTATAGATAAGATTCCTAATATGCCTTATATAGAATACCATGCCCTATTGATGGTGCAGGTAAAAAGTTAAGGTTTTTGATATACCTTATATAGTATACCATTCCTTCTTATTGGTGTAGATAAAATTAAGGTTTTTAGATGATCACATGTATGTAGAAATGCAAGTAATTACTTAATAATAGCATGTTCTTGTAATTACTGTATTTTAACAATTTATTTTGACAAAGAACAGGCTAACCATTTGTGAAGAAATTTTTATGCGCTTTACAAACTTATGAGGCAACCAGGATCTAATCCGTCGTTTTTCGCGGGTTAAGCAAAAAAAAGGCTCTACTTATTTCTTATACATGAAGGTAATCCAAATACAATCGATATCCTTTAAAAAGGTCTTATATGCACATTTTGGTTTTATCATTCAGATCCATATTTGCTTGTACTTTCTTTAATGTTATGAGTTACTTTAATTCGAATAGTAATAAGTACCGAATTCGTCTCAATATATAAAAGGTGTGTATGATATGACAAAATTCGTATCTTATTAAGTGAAAAAATTAAGAGGTAAATTACAGTTTAAGGGTATAAAAAATAGCAAATTTATAGTAGAAAGTGTCTTACAATGTTTTTTTTTTTTCTTTTTAGTAGGTAAACCTTTCTTAAGTTTTTAACAAATTTTACAGAGAAAATTATTCCGGTTCTCACAGTAGTAGAATTATTAAAATCAGTTTAGTATTGCGAATTATTGGCATTTTCTTCATGACCAGGTGATTTTTGCATATTGCCAAAAGCTCTAAGCATTCCGACATATATGAAAGTAATAGCAATTCTTCGCAGATTTTTACTATAAAATTTATACCCTTCAACTGCGATCTGCCACTTAATTAACTTTGCAATATGTCAACAGAATTATTTATTTTATGTGACAAGGATGTACGAGATCCGAATCATATGATTTGTACGTCTTAGATTTGTAAAATTCCACATATCGAAAGAACATTTATTTATTAACATGTATATTAATTTTTTTATATTTAAGGGCGTTAACCTATCCGTAAGAGATCTACTTGTTCAGGTATTCCACCAACCAAAACGTATTAACTAACGTATTTGTGGTTGCTGATTATGGTTCTTTTTTTTCAATAGTGGGAATGGAAAGAAGTTCAGTTTAGTAGATCTTTTTCGGCTTTGCATTTTCATCTGAATTTTAAAATGCATATCAACAAGACCGATTCTTATTCCTCTACATGCACCAGAGATAATCTATATTATAGTATTACTTGTCTTAGCAGGTTAGAGCAAGTAGGTATACTATAGTTTCGTTCTCTTTCATATGAATCAAACCGTGATTTAATGTATATATTTTTTATTAATTCGCAAATATAGTCTGTATGTAAGAACATGAAGCTAATCCCTGATTTTAAACGTAATGGTAGTCTTTCTGACAAAAGGGTGGCTATACTAATTCGTGTTTTATTATTATTTCTGATAAATGTCTTCTCATGACTTATTAAAATAAATAACTTTTAACAGAATCGAAAATTATGTATTCATACGGGGCAAATGGTAAGATTCTATATTCTATACATTATAACTCTGAAAAGTGTGATTCTAATTAACTCATGTTTCGTCATTTTATAATCATAAAAAGGATGTGTTCATGACATTTAATTGCAAAATTGAACGGATATTAGTGTTAGGCCTTTTAAAGTTAAACATGACATCCAAAAAATGTGTATTGGACTGATGTGTCTAGTGTTAGGCAATTAGGATTGCCAATGCTGGATGCACATAGGCTAGATAGAACTTTTTTAGCTGCTAATGACAACATACAAGAATAAATTGTAATTTATTATATTACGAATTACCTTTTCCGCATTCATTTGTTGTTTTTCTTTAATGAAAGCTGAACCCTAATTCTTGTTTCAATTTGAATTATTTCTACTTGAGAAAATAGAAAAACTAGTAACCTACCCATTAACCTAAGGTGCTTAACTTTGTTAAAACGGAACAAGCCCAAAAGCCTAAATATAATATTAATGCTCGTGTAAAATTTGAGCATCACACGCCCAAGCCCGTAGCAAATTAAATCAACCCATATGTGGTGGGTAAAGTAGCGGGTCAGATTATCTTAAAGTTTACACACGACTTATCAATTGAAAATTAATGGTTCTTATATCATTCGATTGATCTTGCCAAGACGAATTGAATGGTATAAAAAACTTTCGATTCTGCAAGTGATACTGCGGATGATCGTCATAAATACGTACTAGTGACTGGACTCGTCAATTCGTGACTCGAATTTTATCATTCTTCAAATCAACTCACGAGTTACTCGCGAGTTAATTATTTATGTATAATTACGTTAATAAAATTTGTAATGATGCATAATTTATATGTATGTAATTTTAACGTAACTAATTCTTTGAAATTTAACTTAAATTATATGCTGACAATAATAATACAATTAGTGAAAGTGATGAATATTTGTCGTTGTAAGAGGAAGAAAAACGAACAGATCCTTTTCAATGGTGAAATTTTAGAAAAAAAATCACGGTTTTCAATATCATCAAAATCGCTCGAAAGCATTTATATGTATCGGAAACGTCACTCTCATCAGAACGGTTATTTTCGGGTGTTGATCCGGAATTGGTGGGCGAGATGATATTATTAAAGAGAAACATTTTCAGCTAATGAATAATTTATATGCCATGTATCTGCTTGATAACTTGTAATTTGAGATATTTGCTTTATCTAATACATTCGCTTTTTATAACACACTAATTAAAGTAAATTAAAGTACAGTATGTTTGTTTTTGTAACTCAATTTGATATTTGCGATAATTAATTTATGTGACTCGAATAACTCGAATAAAACTCGAAAAATATTATTATTCGAATGATCCGAGCACTCTAGAATCACGAATTAATACGAGTCCAATCACTATTGCCCAGTTAATTTTATGTCAATATGTCAATCCGTTACTTTATTCTTCAAGAATTGAGATTATTTAGCTCTAGTAAAAGCTATGCAATAATAAATTGTTTTTAATTGTTTTGGCATTAAAATAAAATTTGCAACTTGTAATATTTTTAATAAAGGTTTACTATTAGTGAATTTTGACAAATTTTAAATCTGCCAAATTACTTTCTTTTACCTTATATCCAAATTTTGATTGGCTCTCGGGATAAATCGATTGACTGACCCACCCTAGTTCGTGTAACAAGCTTTTTTAGGGTGCGTCAAAATAAATAACAATTCCACAAATCCGCCTATACG